CATACATAAAGTAACTATTAATGTAACTGTTAAATTAGTTACTAGTTATCGAAAAAATGTAACTGAGTTAAGTTACAGTTACAGATGTAGAGAAAGTAACGAAGTTAAGTTAGAGTTACCAAAAAGAAGTAACTGTAACTGTAACTTCGTTACAAGTAACGAGTTACTTCCCAACCCTGATAATTTGTTGAAACATAATAGCGATAGGGGTGTTCATATTTTACGAATATCATCAAGAAAGCTGAGCAATTATCATTATCAATAAACATTCGAATAGAAGTTGCAGATCAATGGCATTGATTATACCTTCGAGTATGGAACATTGAACGAAGGCATTGCCGGTCATTCCGGCCGGACAGGTGCACATAGGCACGTGATTATATACGGAGCACAATGCATTTCGACCGCACGTGCCCGGACAGGGATCCATGCATTTGTTACGCACGCACGTACGATCGTAGGCGCAATCGGTATTCATGACACACTCGGGACGGCAACCCACGTAGGGATCACCCTGGTATTCGGGCAGACATATGCAGATGCCATTGTTGCATCGTGCATTTGGTCCACAAGGGTTTAAATTGCAAGGATCGATAACTGCTGGTGCTGCTGTAAAAGAATGCGGATGAGGAACTGAATATCATGATAGAGCCCGAAATGAAATTTCACGAATATAACGCACGAATTTCTATCACGCTGTACGTCCTAGACGTTGTATTCGTGTCTGTAACATGCATCGAATGTTTCTCTCAATTTGAATATCTGGTGGATGACTAATAATTTCATTGCAGCAAAATAATGTAAAGAAAGATTCTTCTTAATTTAAAGAACGTCTGAAACATCTTGACTTATGCCGAACAACAGTAACATTAAATATCTTTTCAAAAGCTCTTAAACATTCATATTATCGGAGCAAGTTCTCTTGTTATTTGGCATTCGCTTAAAACCAAAACTAATATATTCGAAATGCATAAAAAAGAACATTGTGCATTATAATTTGCGAAATTTTTCTTCGAAAGCAAATCTTTCATGACTTTAGGGTGCGAGGAGTTTCTTACTTGTCGGTCTGGGATAACAATTACTGAAAGGATCACCGGTGTATCCTTCAGGACAGGTGCACACGGGTACGTGATTATAGACTGTGCACAACGAAGTGACGCTGCAGGAACCTAAGCAAGGATCTCTGCATCTTTCATTGCTGCAGGCGAGATTCATCGAGCATTCAGAATTCACGCGGCATTCGGGGCGACAATTTGGCGGTGATCCTCTGTAGGTTGGCAAACAGGAGCACGACGGTGTGCCAACGATATTCCTGCATTCCGCATATATGCCGCATGGAGACGGCAAACAGGGATCTTGGGGGACTATGGGAAAATCTAGCGGTTCTGAAATCCAATAGTAAGACAGGCATAAAACTACTACTCGTCGTTTGTTTTAGAGATGTGGACATAATAAATCAATTGCGTTTATGAGAGTAAAACTAATGAGATGTCATGAAAAAATAATGAATTGTCATTGTATGCCATACGGTGTATTATCGTATGACATTAAATTGTGAGGATCGATATTATGATGTTATAGCGACAAGATTAGAGCAAATTGAGTTGAAGACAACAGTTGCGATAACGTCAGTCGGTTTCAAAGATAAGCCATGATTGGATTATAAAAGATGAACCTCTTGCATGAATCAATAAAGCTGAGGGCCGTGAACTTCTGGCATGAATGGATGAATAAATGAACTGACGGCCGTGAAACTCTGACGCGAATGAACGAAATGAGTAAAGCCGATGATCGTAAACTTATGGCAGGAATGAATGAAGCTGATAAGAGAGACCAAGTTCTTACGTGGAGCGGGGAAACATCTTGTAAAGGGATCCCCGGTATAACCGAGATTGCAGACGCAAATGGGGCTGTGATTGATCACTTTGCATTGTGTGTTTATTCCACACGGGTCCGGGCAGGGCGATATACACTTCTGATTGATGCAAACAAGATCCGGAGAGCATTGGCTGTTCACAACGCATTCGGCGCGACAGCTGGGAGGGCTGCCAATAAAATTCGGAAGACAAGTGCAAACGGCAAGGCCATTTACATCTTGGCATTTACTGTTTGGTCCACAGGGAGATGGGTTGCACGGGTTTGTTTCTGGTAGGACTGTGTGGAGAAAAATATTATTATTTACAAACTATTTCCTACGGATTATTATGGGTAATATGGGTTTTTCTCATGTTCAACTTCGGACTAATACATTTTCCTCGGTAAGACTAAATTCGAATCCATACTAAAAGTAAAGCAATAAAGATCAAAATTTTAAATGTCACAAAATCTCGCGATTAATAAAAAATATATCTCATGTCAATAAAATGGCAATGAATATACCTAAAATTATTTGTTATTTTAAATGGCAAGAAGAAAACGCCTGAGATGTTTAATAAACAATAGACAATTAAATTCTTCTTAATTAAATTTTCAATGAATCTAAAACTTTCTAATATAATTCTACATTATGTATGTGTGTGACCATTCTGTGATGTAGTATGAGGAATCCGAACTTAAAAATATAATAATTAAAATATCCGACATGGAAATAAATCTTACGAGTTTCAACTATCGGGGAACAGAGCGTGAAGGGGTTGCCGGTATAGCCGGGAATGCAAATACAAATCGGCAGATGATTAACCGATTGACATTGGGCATTCATTCCGCATGTTCCTGGGCAAGGGTCTCTGCATTTCAGGCCCACGCACGCCATTCTTGTCAAACAGTCAGAATTTTGTGTGCATTCGGGCCTGCACTCTTCGTAAGGATCGCCTAGATAGTCCGGCAGACAGGTGCACGAGCCGACGCCATTGTTCTCGCGGCAGACGGCATTGAGGCCGCAGGGGGAAGGCTCGCACGGCTTTCTAATGTCTAGGGACGTATCTGATACGAAGAGAAATTTCTCTTAGACTTAATCGAACATGCAGGGTTCTTCTCCAAAAGCTAGTGATAGGCTGAGGGACTTTTGGACTTTCGTCAATTTTCCCTCGCGTTCGCATAAAATCGAATCCCTAGCAAGCAATAAGCCTCATATGGTAGTGCGATATAATAGCTTTGCGTGGTTTCATTGTTGGGTTATCATTTGTTGATAAATATCTCGGCGAGTTTGTTGGTTTTAGTGGGTGACGTTTTCTAATAGCAATTGTTTCATTAAGCGTGTTCAATCTTTCATCAGATTAATTAATCGAGTTAATTACAAGGTACGGTGGTTGGCGGTTATTATTTCTTCGGGAACGGAACAGCTATCCTATAGTTTGGGATCTACAATTGTAGTAAGTGCGTTTTATTAGAATTCGTTAAAATTATTTCTCTAGGGGTTGCGCTCCTTGCGGCAATATTACATATTTCTTGGCGGCGTATCTTTGCGTTATTGGTCCATTCGAGAACGGTACGTGCAGCATGATTATTGGGAGGTCCACAGTATGTCAAAGGTCAGGGTGCTCTTACATGTGAGTGGGTGGTTTAACGGAGTTGTTTCAATGCATCAGTGCGTGCAGTAAACATTTCAACAATTAATCGCAGGGACTGATGTTCTATCGTTTAGTTGCTCAGTGTCGATTAAGGGTAAATGCAGCCAAGAGCCTATTGGGTGTATAGGCCCCGCCACCAGTTTTGTGACCACCTGTTTCATTATTTCCTGCGTTAAGTTTCTGGGTCAGTACGCTCAGGCATGGGGGGTGATTGCGTGCCACATTGCTCCTTCGGTTAATTGTAGGGACTCGGGACACGCACACATAATCCTATGTTATTGACTTTTAATCGGGTGATGAGTGCAATTACGAGCCTAATATCTATAGGCCCCACCACCTAACACACGTGGCTTATTGTCACCTCCTGTTAGAAGTCTCTTTGCGACGGTGTATTACTGTCGCGCACATATCGTCGCGTTAATCTTATGTGATGGTTAAGACACAAGTTTCAATCTCTGATGCGTCTTCTAAAAACTATATAAGCACATGTCTGATAATAACGGGACAGGACGGTGATATTCATCAAACTATTTTTCAAACTTCAGTTAAGTTTTAAAATACTCTATGTACGTCATACTCTAATGTAACAACTGGACAAATTTTTTGGGAAAGATTTCAGCAAATTACAATATTTTTAACAGTTAACTCTGAACAGCGGTATTATTTGACAATGAAGACAAACTCTTGAGCTACCGTCGTGACTTATTATCATTAGTCATATTGTACGGAAATAAAAGCACTTACCTGCCGCGCCTGCATGCAAACGGCGACATTCGCGGAAGGGATCGTAACAAGAAGAAATAAAGGATAGCGATAGTGTACTCACCCTCGGGTAGTCTTTCGCAAGCGCTGAATGGATTTCCGGTGTATCCAGTGGTGCACGCACAAACTGCGTGGTGATTCACTACCGAGCACTGAGCGTTTAGACCGCACAAACCGACACATGGATCGCGACACTTTTGTTGCATACACGCTAACTGCGGCGGACATTCGGGATTGATTGTGCACTCCGGCCGACAATTCGGCGGCAAACCGACATAATTTTCGATACACGAACACGCGGGACTGTCACCTCTCACTTGACACTCCGCATTCGGACCGCAAGGCGACGGCAGACACGGGTTCACTGGCGCAGGTGGTGTTTCTGCAAAATGAATGTTTAATTGAAGAAATTTTTTACTTAATACTAAAACAATTGAAATATTATCCAGAAGATCAATTCACCTCGAATAAAGATAAAAACTAATTCTCAGACAATAAGCAGACTTTTTTTCGCGCATTGTAAATAATTAAAAATTTATAAAAATAAAAACTTCATGGCTAAAAAAATATAGGTATCGTGTTAATTCGATCATTCTAGTAGCTTGGTCAATGTGTAAAGACTTTTACGATTTCGTTATTTCGTATAATCACCGATCGATTGCAATTGATTCAAGTACAAAATATTAAAATTATTTGTGCCGTAATATCTAAGTGACTTACTTGGTTGCGGATAACATATAGTAAAGGGATCGCCTGTAAAAGATTCGGAGCAGCTGCATATCGGATTATGATTAACCACTTGACAGTTTGTATTCTGTCCGCAAGTGCCTGGGCATGGATCTTGACATTTATTATTTAAACACGCTTGTGTCAATGGACAGTCCGCACTGACGACGCATTCTGGTTTGCAAGCGGGTGGACTGCCAATTAAACCAGGCTGACACGAACACACAGCGTGACCACTCGCAACTTTGCAGATGCTGTTTGGTCCGCAAGGCGAAGGTGTGCAAGGTTGCCTAATAGTGTCTACAAATAAGATACAAATAATAGTTATCAGAAACAATAAAGTAAAATAAAATTCAACTTTATTGTACAATTGATATTCGAAATATAAACTGTTTCAGTTTTATACAGAACACATTAAAGAACTGATAAGAGACAAAACTATATAAAAATAATTATATATATATGTATGTATTTTAATATTTATATATTCACATATATACAATTATTTTCTTTGTATTTCACTTAATGCATTATATTTGTACTTCGAAATATTTGTATATATTTCAATTATAAAATATATTTATAGACTTACCATCTGGTATGTGTGGTCGACACAGAAGGAACGGATTCCCGGTGTAACCAGGCGGACAGCTGCACATTGGAACGTGATTAACAACGTCGCAACGTGCATCACGACCGCACGTGCCTGGACAAGGATCCACACAATTTTGATTGATGCAAGTTTTGACGCGAGGGCAATCTGAATTCATTGTACATTCCGGTCGACAATACGAGTACGGAGCTCCGAAGTAGTTGGGCAAACACCTGCAAACACCTTCGTTGCATTCCGCGTTAGGCCCACACGGTGACGGATTGCACAAATCTTCGGGGACCTTTGGTTGTTCTGCAACATTAATTTTTCACGCTTATCAATAAATACAATTATGTAAAAAAATTCAAGAAAAGCAAGCCTTTTGATTTATATTAGTTTGAAATTACAGTTATTAATACGTAATATAATTGCAGTAAATTATCAAATATCAATTAATGTTATTTGAAATTGTGTCTGTTTCTATACGTACATTTGCAACAAAAATTACCGATATTTAAATTTTGGCACAATTTTTTATAACATTGGAAAGAAAATTTATCTGTTCTTTCCAACAAAATACACAAAGCCAGTTTAGAAATTTATACGAGAATACGCACCTCTAATTACTGTGCACAGTGTAAAAGGATCGCCGGAATATCCAGGTTGGCACAAGCAAACTGGTATGTGATTCTGTACTCGACAGTCAGCATTCTGTCCACAGGAACCGATGCAGGGATCACGACATTTTTCCGAGATACAAGCCTGATTCGACGGACAATCTGTATTAACTACGCATTCTGCGCGGCAGTTCGGTGGTATCCCTATGTAATTTTTCAAGCAAGTACACGCGGCTTGATTATTAACAACTTTGCACTCCGCATAGAGTCCACATGGACTAGGGAAACAAGGGTCCACCGGTGGTAGCGGCACAACTAAAAAATTAAATACGTATATGATAGTAGTAATATATAATTTTTTAATATAATTCTTACACAAAAAGTAAGCAAAATAAATTAAAGTTAATTAAATATATCAGGACAATTACCGGGTTCAGGGAAACATCTGGAGAAGGGATCTCCCGTCTTTCCTTGTGGACAACTGCAGAGCGGATTGTGATTGATAACCCGGCAGTTGGCTTCGATTCCACACGTGCCAGGACATGGGTCAGTACATTTGTATTTGTAGCATGCTCTGTTTTGCGGACATTCCGAATTGACGACACATTCCGGCTTGCAATTCGGCGGGCCACCCACGAAAGACTCTTGGCACGTGCACACGGCCTGGTTGTTAATAGCACGGCACAAGCTGTTCGGTCCGCAGGGTGAAGGCGAGCACGGATCCCTGACGGTAGGTTCGGTATCAATTTCCGGTTGAAGGGTGCAGATTGTAAATGGATCTCCAATATATCCAGGCTCGCAAGTGCACGTAGGTATATGATTGATCACTGAACACTGCGCTCGGACGCCGCATACACCTGGGCAAGGATCCTTGCATTTGTTACGATCGCAAGCCTTGTTTGTAGGGCAATCCGCACTGAGGACACACTCCGGTTGACAGCCCTCGTAAGGATTTCCTTGATAGTCATCGATACATATGCAAGCACCAGCATTGTCCCGTTGTTGACAGATCGCATTGGCTCCGCACGGCGAAGGTTCGCACGGATTCATCGGTTCCTCTAAAAAAAAAACATCCGATATTTATTGCTTCAAGATTGACTAGCTCAAAAAAATGTAATGTTGTAAGTAGAAACACAAAGTTAATTATGCATAGAAATAGATGGACGATTTGATTGAAGTAAAATGTTGGCACTCTTGCAGATATAATTGATGAAATTAACAAACGGACGTACCTTCCAACACACATTGCACGAACGGATTGCCCGCATAGCCGAACCTACACGAACAAGTCACTGCGTGATTCACTACTTTGCATTCAGCGTTATCTCCGCAGGATCCAGGACATGGGTCTTTACACTTCATGTTTATGCAGGATTTTTCCGTTGGACAATCGGGATTGATCAAACACTCCGGCCGGCATGAAGGCGGAGTGCCGATGTATGTAGGTAGACACGAACACGATGGCTGTCCATTTGTATTTTGACAAAGCGCGTTTGGTCCACATGGTGAAGGAGTGCAAGGATCGCCCTGATCCTTAGGTTCCGATGGTACTAAAATGTTGACGGCAACATTTTGGATTTGCTCACTCAATTCGCGTTTTATTCAAGCTATTGCAAATCTCTTTTACGTTTATTATAATTTAAAAAACTGGTGAAATCGATTATTAATGTGTGCAATTCTTGAACATTATTGAAATTATATGTCATATCATTTTATTTGTTATCGTATAATTTAATTGTTCTTACTTGGAATATCGTAACAACTTCTGAACGGATCTCCAGTCTGCCCAGGAAGACAACTACATATCGGCGAATGGTTGATCACTTCGCATCTCGCGTTTAAGCCGCAGGAACCTAGACAAGGATCTGTGCACTTCTTGTTTACGCAGGCTCGTGTTGGCGGACATTCAGAGCTAACGAGACACTCTGGTCTACACGATGGCGGAGAACCAAGGTAGCCTCGGAGACAAGAGCACACAGCGTGGTCTTCAATGTTGCGACATTGACTGTTCGGTCCGCAGGGAGAGGGCGAGCACGGATCTTTTCGGGAGTCGGGCACTGCGGCACATACGAGACAAATTAATTTTGCATTATCCTGAATTGGCTTAAAGATCTATGGAAAATATGATACTAGTAATGTTGATCGAAACGAATACAGAAAAAAACAAATCTTTTCTTACATACCTCTAGGTTGAACACGACAACTGACAAACGGATCGCCGACATATCCGGATGGACAGGAGCAAACGGGTATGTGATTCACCACGTCACATCGCGCGTTTTGGCCACATATCCCGGGACAGGGGTCCTTGCATTTGTTTTTCAGGCAAGTTTTGTCGCGGGCACATTCTGAATTGAGGATGCATTCGGGACGGCAGGCCTCATAAGGATTGCCGATGTACTCGGGCAAGCATCTACATTCACCGTTATCGCATATGGCGTTCGGGCCACACGGGGATAGAGCGCAAGGATCCGTGGACGGCGGTTCTGTAACTACAAGATAATACACTGTTAAAGATAAATTGTTAAATTAGATTGCTTCAATTGTAATTAACTTTTCGAAAACAACTCATATTAATGACGCGTTGCTCGTTACTCTGTTTACCTGGTGGAATAATGCTACATTGCGTAAATGGATCTCCGGTGAAACCTTCCATGCACGTGCAAACCGGGAGATGGTTTAATACGTGACATTGAGCGTTTATTCCGCACGAGCCTGGGCACGGGTCCGCGCACTTCTGATTGACACACGCGAGGTGACTCTTACATTCGGAACTTAAAATGCACTCCGGCCGACATTGCGGCGGTACACCGATGTAATTTGGCAAGCAGGAGCAAGCAGGATTGCCGGATATTATTTGACACAAAGAATTCGGGCCACAAGGTGACGGGGTGCAAGACGGTGGCCGCTCAGTTATCGGAAAATCGGTAGTAACTGAAAAAAAAGTTATTATATATTTTTTATGTCGGAGAAACGTGTGTGCAATTAAAAAGAGTTTGTAATGTCAATAATACATATCCTCTTGCAAATAATTAATAAATATGTGCAATGCAATAAGCAAAAATGTAACATTGAATACTCATATGACGGAAACATGATCAAAAGTAATACAATTTTATCCAAGTCAAAGTTCTAGAATATTCATGTTGACGTTGATGCAAACGTATAAAATATGTGCTTACTATGTGGCGAGCAGAAAGTGAAAGGATCCCCTGTGAAACCGGCAGGGCAAGTGCAAATCGGATTGTGGTTTTTGGTAATACATTGCGCCCTCAATCCACAGGTGTTCGGACAAGGATCTGCGCATTTCTTATTTACACACGCTAGATGAGGTGGACACTCGGCATTAACGATACATTCTGGTCTGCACGATGGTGGGATGCCCCTATACTCTGGTAAACAAGAGCACACAGCTTGACCGTTGACGACTCGGCATTTACTGTTGGGCCCACAAGGTGATGGAGAGCATGGTTCCACGGTTTCTGAGAAAAATAGCGTTACATTTTTTTTATAGATTTTTAGTTCCACGCAATAATTATTTTGGAAAGATATTTATCTAAAGTGTGGTTTAATAGTTATCATTATCGCAGTTTCTTTGCGCGATTAATAATAATACGTATATACGTACACCGAAAAGAAAATCTGATAGATTCTACCAGTCGTCTGTTAGAAAATGGACGAATCAGAATTCCTTTAGGATTTACCAGATGTGTAGTAAAGTCTAGCAAACTTCTGGTTATGAAATGTCTTTCATGGTAAATCCTGAAGGAATTCTGATTCGTCCATTTTCTAACAGACGACTGGTTGAGTCTATCAGAATTTTTTTCAGTGCATTGATAATAGTGATAATACTATATTAATACAATATGGTTAACACAATGCCAGCAATATTATTAGCGTCATTTTCACTGTGCTAATATTTTTTTTGCATCTACCAATTATCCCATTTACATTTTATTATCAAAACTTACTTATCATCTCCTCAATTTCACAAGCGAAATATGGATCTCCGGTATATCCCGGTGGACACAGGCAGACAGGAACGTGCGCTTGTACGTTACAGATAGACAACGTTCCACATGTGTTTGGGCACGGATCTGTGCATTTGAAACCAACACACGCCAGCTGCGGCGCGCAGTCGGTGTTTGCTTCGCATTCCCTGTGGCATCCCTTGATGATATCGTAAGGATCGCCTATCAGGTCAGGCGGACATCCGCAGGCGCCAGCTCCGTTTCTTTCGCGACATTGCGCATTGGGGCCGCAAGGATTCGGCGAGCACGGATTCGATACAGTCCTGTCTGTCGCTACAAAAACACGCGGGACAAAAATTTATATAATATTTACGCAGAACACAGTGTATATTCAAACACCATCTTCGACGATCTAAATTCACTGGATATCCGAGTTTTTACTCACCTGGCGGAGATTCCAGGACACAGCGTACGGTGGGATCGCCTTCGTATCCCTCTGGGCAGGTACAAATCGGGACGTGATTCTGCACCGTGCATCTGGCGACTTCGCCGCAGGCACCGGGGCAAGGATTCTTGCATCTCTGATTGATGCACGCTGCGGTATTTAAGCATTCCGAGCTGTCGGTGCACTCTGGCCTGCAGTTCGGCGGACGACCAATGTAGTTCTGCAAGCAGGAACATGCTGGATGCGAGCCTATAACTCTGCACTGCGAGTTCGGGCCACATGGATTCGGCAAACAAGGATCTCCTTCCCCTTTTGGCAACGGCGATGTGGTACTAATTCTGGTGCAGTGCACGAAGGGATCGCCGGAGTAGCCGCTGGCGCAGCTGCAGATGGGATTGTGGTTCACCGTTAGGCAGTTCGTGTTTTGCCCGCAAGAACCTGGGCATGGGTCCGCGCACTTGTTATTAATGCACGCCCTGTTCTGTGGACACTCAGAACTGACAATGCAACCCGGTCGGCAGTTCGGCGGGACTCCGGAGAATCCCGGTTGGCAGAGGCACACCGCGTGTCCGTCGTGCGTTCGACAGTTGCTGTTGGGTCCGCACGGCGACGGATCGCAGGGATTGATCGGCACAGGCAACGGCGTCACGACGTCGATGACGGTACAGCCGTTCACCGGATCGCCGGTATAACCGGGCAGGCAGGAGCACATTGGAGCATGATTGACCACGCGGCAAGTAGCGTCTTGGCCGCAAGTGCCTGGGCACGGATTGACGCACTTGTTGTTCAGGCAGGCCTTGCTGCGGTCGCAGTCGGCGTTGGTCACGCATTCGGGTCTACAAGCGATGTACGGATCGCCAAAGTACTGCGGTAAGCACGTGCAGGATCCGACGCCGTTTCGTTCGTTGCACACTGCGTTGGCGCCACACGGTGACGGATTGCACGGCGTGCGTGGCTGCTCCGTCGTAATAGGCGCTGGAAACAATCAATTATACAATGAAATAATGAATATTAGAAGACAAATAGCTAATAAAAGTAACTATATATTAATTTAACACCTTGCGAGGTCTTTGCAAACGCGTACCTTCTACAATGGGTATACATTCTGTGAACGGATCGCCCGTGTAGCCGTTGTTACAGATGCAGACGGGATTGTGTTTCACAACATTGCAATACGTATTCACGCCGCAAGAGCCCGGGCACGGGTCCACGCACTGTTCGTTTTGACATGCCAGATTTCCGGGGCATCCTTCATTTATGACACACTCGGGACGGCAATTTGGTGCGCGGCCCACGTAATTCGGTAAGCATGAACACGCCGGGAAACCGTCAATCACCCGACACTGGGAATTCGGCCCGCATGGCGAAGGGACGCACGGATTGCCGCTTGGCCTCGGTATCGGTGTCACTTCTGTTATAATCATAATTTGTGATTGCGTTTCAATACATCAGGATAGTTGCGGTATATTCAATTTGTAATTCAAGTAATAGAGAAAATATTTAAAAAGTGTATATAAATTATTCAAATATCCAATATACTGAAAATAAAAGTCTTAAGACGATGGCCAAAAGAATTTCGAAACTTGCCTTCCTTAGCGCAACCGAAGAACGGATCCCCGCTATAGCCAATCGCGCATATGCAGACTGGATTATGATTGATCACTCGGCAGTCCGCATTTACACCGCACGTGCCGGGACATGGATCTTTGCATCTCTGATTGATACACGCTGTGCTCGGACTACAGTCCGTACTGACTACACACTCCGGCCGGCACGACGGTGGACTGCCGATGTAATTAGGTTGACAGGAGCACACTGCGTGATTATCAATAACGCGGCAATTGCTGTACGGTCCACAGGGAGATGGTTGGCACGTATCGCCTGGTACTGCAGGCGCTATGACAGATCAATCACGTTATAAATCCTTCTTTACTCGTGTCAGAAAAAAGTATCACTGACGTACTTATCGGTATGTGGCAAGACGTAAGTGGATCACCGGTGTAACCAGAGAGGCAACTGCAGGATGGCTGATGATTGTAGACTTGGCATTGCGCGTTAATTCCGCACGCTCCCACACACGGATCCTTGCATTTGTTGTTAATGCAAGCCTTCGTGTGAGCGCAGTCCGAATTTTGAACGCATTCCGGCCTGCAGCCCTCATAGGGATCGCCGGTGTAATCAGGCAGACAAGTGCAAGATCCCGCGCCATTACGTTCTTTACATACGGCGTTCGTGCCGCACGGTGAGGGATCGCACGGCAGTTGCACCGGGAAAACAGCTACGGGGCAAAAATATCTCTCTTCGAAGTATGCAACAATATATCAATTTAAGATAAATTCGTCAAAATCGTACCTTTGGCGCAGCCTGAGAAAGGATCTCCTTCATAGCCTTCGTAACAGTGACATATAGGCCGATGATTTTGAACCGTGCAATTAGTGTTAAAACCGCATGATCCAACGCATGGATCCAAACATTTCTTTTGAATGCAAGCTAAGGAGCTAATGCAGTCCTGATCGATCACACACTCTGGCCTACAGTTCGGCGGTGCTCCGAACATGCCACTGATGCACGTGCATATTGGATGATCCTCTTGGACGCGACAATCAGCGTTAGACCCGCAAGGCGATGGCAAACAAGGATTTGTTGTTGGCGGTAAAGGTTCTGAAAGGAGTGTAATAGATTAAATAATATTTCATATCATTTCGAAAAACTTTCTCACCTTAACTTGGTAATGAATGCATTACTTGCTTAACTCGAAATATTAAAATTTATCAAGTACCTTCGATTCTATTGCGTTTCTCCTTGTGACATAAATCTTCTGATTTTAGAAAACTTTGTGTCACATATTTGAAAGCAGGAAAAATCTTTATCTAACTTATTTACTATCTTACTTCCTATATAATCAGCAATACTTTATCAAAATTAGAATAAACTAGGAAGGTACTCTCTTTATTTAATAGAAATCTACTATTACACTAAAGATATATTAATATAAGGTATTACCTTCTTTGAGGCAATAAGTGAATGGATCACCGGCAAATTGACGAGGACAACTGCAGATCGGATTGTGATTGATGACCTGGCAGTCAGCGTTCAAGCCACACAATCCTGGGCAAGGATCATTACACTTTTGATTAATGCAAGCCAGGTGAGCCGGGCATTCCGTACTGACGAGACACTCCGGACGGCAATGCGGCGGAGTGCCTTGGTAGCCCGGACTACATGAGCAAACTGCACGATCGTTCATTACACGGCAGATACTGTGTGGACCGCATGGCGATGGCATGCACGGATTCTGATCCGGAACTACTACAAGAAATAAAATTGAATTAGACTTATCGTTACATTAATATTGTTGTTACAGTTAATGTAAATTTATCCTTTAATTGTTAATATATATATCTTTTAGATTAAAATAAGATATTTTATGAAAACAGGCAGACACAAAAATTTTGAAAAATTACGCAAACTAACAGTTTACTGCGTTCGATATTCTAAATTTAAGAAGAAATATTCTATCGTCTAAATTAGTGCAGTATTGTGTGTAATAAATGAAACAAGTCACGTGTGAAGTATGCAAATTGAAATGTATCCACGTACAAGGTCTCTCTATTTTACAGGCTCTGAACGGATCTCCGGTATATCCTGGCAAGCAAGAACACATCGGAAGATGATCGATGACTTCGCAATGCGCGTTAGCGCCACACACGCCCGGGCATGGATCTCTGCAATGCTGATTGAAACAAGCTAGATGACTCTCGCAATCCCGATTAATGATGCACTCGGCCTCGCAACCGTCTATATAGGGATTGCCAACAAATGGCGGTACGCATGTGCATTTGGCTATGCCGTCGATCGCCGTGCAAATAGCGTTTTTGCCACAAGGTGATAATAGACAAGGATCATATGGCTCCTCTGGTCGTGCTGTAATAATAGTAAAATGTTTTATTGTGGATTATTTAAAACTGTTTAAGCTCTTTATTACAGTTATATTATTCAAGATGTTTGACATAGAAGATTGCAAAAAACCCCTTCAAATTAATATTAAACATAAAAAAATTATAAACGAGATAATGAAAAAGATAAAGTATTAAAAAAATTTCTCAATTAAAATTTGTAAAAATTTATACGTGCAGATTCAATAGTTTGTTTAATTAAAAAATTAGAATTACGAGATATCATTTTTGATAATTTAGAAAATTTTTTAGAAATAAACTCTTTCCATTTTACTTTTGCGCTATTCAATAATTAATAACAATTACCTCCGCAACTCTTGTACGGGTTTCCAATCGTGAGATCTGGACAGTAGCAAGGTGGTACCCTCGTGCTGTTGCACCTTGCCCCGAAGCCACATGGATTAAATTCGCACTGATCAGCTTTCGGCACGCATCCTCGAATAGTATTGGGACTTTCGATGTATCCAGATAGACAGGTACACTTTGCGTAACCATTGTCCAACACAGAACAGCGAGTATTGGGACCACACGGAGAAGGATCGCAGGAAGTGCTAGGAAGTGTGCAGGGAAAATGTGGCGGTTCACCCTCGTATCCTGGCAAACAGAAGCACTTCACCTGTCCATTCACCACTCGGCATCCTGAGTTGACGCCGCAGGGATTACCTTCGCACTGGTCACCTTCGGGTACTAGACGCATTACAAGATCGATTTGTTAAAAATTAATGTTTGTTACATCTTGTTATATTTGAATCTACATTTATACGTATCTACATTAATAATTTGAAGCATACAGACGGTGTCACAATTATATTTAATAAAAAGTGTGTACGTACTGCACTGCTCGAACGGACTTCCAGTTAGACCTTTTGGACAGAAGCAGACGGGATTTCCATTGTCATTTTCGCATAAAGCATTCAAACCGCACGGATTTGGAACGCAAGGATCAACAGCGGACACTATCTCCTGACAGCCAATGTGAGGATTTCCTTGATATCCTGGAAGGCACGTACACTGCGCTTGATGATTACTAGACACACACTTTGCATTATCTCCGCAATCAAACTCGACGCAAGGATTAATGCACAGCCTGTTGTGTCGATCACAGTATTTGTGCGGAGGACAGTCTTCATTGTACTGGCAAATATTCTTCGTTTCTTCCACTGAAATCGTAGGATGTGCTTATTTATATTTTTACATATATTTATTTGTAAATTTCTAATTAAAATCCATTATTAAACTTTCATAAAATTTTATCAGCTATAAGACATTACTTGTAACTTTTATGTGCACTAATAATTTGCATCAGATTTTCGTGTCAACTGTTCTAAATATTTGATAAAGTAATATCGATTTATACCATGTAATTTTATCGTACGCTATTTTAAGTTGTAATATTGATTTGATGTCTCATTGTGAAACTTACGCAAATCGCAATAAGAGAATCCATTTCCGTGATAGCCTTCTTCACAACTGCAGTCTGCTCCATGATTCGTATTAATACAAATAGCGTGTTCCGCACAAGGATTTCGAACAAGGCACGGTTCCTGGCAAGTGTGCCCAATGCACACTTCTGTCAGGGGGCAATCCCTGTCGCTAGTGCAACCCGCTAGAGAAAGAGTGGGAAGGCCCATGTAACCCCAGGAAGTGTGCACAAGTATAAGAATCGAGATAAAGGAAGTTCTCTTTGCATAGCAATGTGATTCTCTTGATCTTTGTGTGCAAAAGAGTATGCGAATCATTAATCGGGAGAAAAACATTTTCCGAGACAAGAGAGATGTATTCAGAAAGAATATGACGAATATCTTAAAGAGATCATTCTTCGTGATCGTGCACGAGATAGTTGTATCGAAAATGAACATTTTGTGCTTTGTATGAAGGGTCTTATATATAATTTGTGAAATATGTACGTGAGATATGTACAGTACATACATATTTACAAATCTCTCGGTGGCTATAAAGAGAAACTGAAAATAAAATCGAATGAAACCGAGCACAGTGCTGGCGATGGTACGAACCTTTGATGCAAGTGTTTGTCGATGGGTCGCATTGCGTGCCAGGTGGGCAGTAAGGACACTCCGCCTCATTTGTGTCCACTGATAAAATCGTATAAAATAATAAATAATTTTTTCATCGCGGAATGCAAAATTTTATGCAAAATACTACTCGATTTAATCGCAAACGTACCTTTGACGCAGACCGGCCTATGATATTGAACATGGCAAGCTTCGACGAAGTCGCACGGATTGCCCAAAGCGCAAGGATTCACGCATTGATGATTTACGCAAGCCAATTGGATGGGACAGTCGTTGTGCGTTGTACATTTCACGTCTAACGAAACAAATGTTCATTAGAAAAATGTTACAAACGACGAAAGCGTCGTGAAATGTTAATGTACATGTCCCAACAGAAAAACTATTTAATCTCAGTTTTAACTGCAATCTTCATATGTTCTATCAAAAACGGCAGCTATGAAACAACATACATTTACTTAGATCTATCGTATTGGTGTTGTCAGTGCAATACATAAACATAAATACACAAGGACGATGTACTTTTTCCTTTAAGACATATAGTGATATTCGTGTTACATGTGTCAAGTATAGCAGCTAAAACACACATTGACGCGTCTACTTCGAGCAAAATTATCTTTCATCTGTCAGACGCTCTAATTTCTTCATAATTAATCATTCAGATTTTATAGCAAAACTTTTTCTTTGTGAACGACATGCCACAATGTGACATCACTGTATATCATAGATTTGCGTAAGATAATTTTCTCTGAGCGCAGACGATTGAAATTGCAGTTCATTATACACAAGTTAGATACAAACAAGCTATAAGAGAGAAAGTCGTGCATAAGCATTAATGTACATCATGCGTAGAGCGCTAATGCAGCAGTCCTTTGTCTGCATTTGGGAAAGCAGTGTCTGACTGCTAATTAAAACTTTTCGACTCGGTCGTCATGTGGGACAGACAGATAGATAGATCGATTTATGGGCCGCCCTTAGGGTATCGATCGCATTCTCATTCATGAATTTACACCGATGAGCCATTTCGTGAAATGACTGATTTGACAAGCAGTGTCTACAATCTCCAGAATTGGTTGCTTCCAATTTTTATCTGGATACGATAGTATGATCTCACTGGAGGAAGTTTGTAGAAAACACATCAGTGATGTGTAACACAGTGAACACAAAATGACACCACAATTACGGAACTCCCGACAAGAGAAATCTTTACCTGGGAGTACGCTACAATTAGACGTACTCTGCTCGGTACTTGAGTCTAAGCACACAGGCCGATGATTCACAACGTCGCATAAGACATTCTCTGGACATGAATTGTCAGTTCTACATGGATTTCGACAAAGACCATCGATGCAAGCTTCACATTCAGTACAATCTGCATGTAAGGTACAAAATACATCTGTTTTATTCTGAATAATTTCAGGCGTTGTATAATATTCTGTGGTCAAATATGACTCTGTGGATTTTTCGGATGTAGCAAGTTGCTCTGTGGTAGAATATTCTTCTGTGGGATATCCGGTTGTACTATATTGTGTTGCTTGCGTAGTAATGAACTGTTCAGATGTATATTCAAATGTGCTGTATTGTTCTGTAGTAGAGATCTGTTTTGTTGTAAATGGTTCAAATGTAGTAGACTGTTCAGATGTCTTGAATCCTGTAGTAGAATAGCTTTCTGTAGTAGAGATTCGTTCTGTGGACTCTTCAGTTGAAGTGTACGGTTTCAAAGTGGTGTATAGTTCTGTTGGTTCTTGTGAGGTTCTAAGCTGTTCTGTTGTAGAATATACTTCTGTAGAATCAGATGCATCATATTGCTTCGTAGTAACGATTTGTTCTGTAGATTCTGCAAACGTGGTATACTGGTCTGTTTGCTTTGGTGTCGTAAACTGTTCTGTAGTGAAATATTCTTCTGTTGAATATTTCGATGTGTCATAATGATTTGTAGTAGAGATCTGTTCTGTAACTTCTTCAGTTGAAGTATACTGGTTCGAAGTAGTGTATTGTTCTGTGGGTTGCTGTGATGTTCTAAACTGTTCTGTTGAATCTGTAGAATATTCCGACGTAATGTACTGCTCTGTAGTTGAAATTTGTTCCGTAGATTGTGCAAACGTAGTGTACTGTTCTGTTTGCTCTGGCGTCTTAATCTGTTCTGTAGTAGAATACGCTTCTGTAGATTCAGATGTACCGTAATACTCTGTAGTAGAAATCTGTTCTGTAGATAGTTTAGTGGAAGTATATTGTTCTGTGGGTTGCTGTGATGTCTTAAACTGCTCTGTTGTAGAATATCTTTCTGTAAAATATTCAGGAGTGCTGTATTGCTTTGTAGCGGAGATCTGTTCTGTAGTAGAATGTTCTGATACACGATGCTCTGTAGTAAAGATCTGCTCTGTTGACTCTTCAGTCGAAGGATATTGTTTTAAAGTAGTGTATTGTGTGGGTTGTTGTGATGTTGTAAGCTGTTCTGTTGTAGAATATCCTTCTGTAGAATATTCAGGCGTGCTGTATTGTTTCACAGTAGAAGTCTGTTCAGTAGAATGTGCAAACGTGGTATATTGTTCTGTTTGTTCTGACATCTTTAGCTGTTCTGTAGTCGAATGTTCCTCTGTAGAATGTTCCGATGTGCTATAATGCTCTGTACTAGAAACCTGTCCTGTAAATTCTTCAGTTGTAGTGTACTGTTTCGAAGTAGTCTCTTCAGTTGTAGTGTACTGTTTCAAAGTAGTATGTTCTGAGGATTCCTCCGTGGTAGAGTAAGGAGTAATGTATTCGGTAGTAGAGGATTGTTCTGTTGCAGAAATATCAGTGCCTTTGTGAGAACTGCTGATATCAATAATATCTGTTGTAAATATAGGAGACTCAGTTGTAATGATAGGAAATGAAGTGGTATCTTTTATATATGGTTCAGTCGTATCGATCGAACCAGTATTGATAGTGCTCCATTCTTGTGTGATTTCTTTGGCAGTATCATGTTCAATATTTATTGTAGATGTTTCGGTATGTCCTAAGATATTTGGGGATGACGTCGTATGATCTACCTGCGTTAAAAATGTCGTGGTAGTCATTGCGCTAGTGGTACTTTCCATATGTGTTTCAGTGATTTCTTGTAATGGCTTTACTGTTAATTCTGTGATAGTAGAATATTGCGTAGTAGTAAATGGTTGTGTAGTTGCTACTGTGGAAGTTTCTTCACCACTTACATTAGGAACTTCTGTAGTAGGAACTGCAGTTATATTCTCAGGAACTTCAATAATGCTATTTACTTCCGTTGTCTTAGAAACTGTTGTTTCAGTACTTTCGCTAGAAACAGTAGTATCAGTAAGCTCGGTATAACTGAATGTAACTGGAGAAGTGGCAGTGACATTTTGAAAAACAGTTGTTCCAGTTATTGCCGTTGTAGCGTTTTCTCCATTGCCAAATTCAAATTCACTCTTCGTTGTCTCAATTGTAGCAGAAGAAGGTATATTTTCTGTAACAGTCTCTTCTGTGCTATACACAGTTGGAGTAGTATACACAGTTTGTTCGATTTCGGAAGTAACGGTATGTGCTATTGTTGTATATTCTGTTGAAATAGTTTCAACTGGGAAAGTACTTTCAAACGTTGGAACAGTAGAGGGGCTAGATGTTATATTTTCTAAAACGTCAACGTTTGTCGTTGAAATCAAAGTGCCATTCGAAATATTAATTTCGGTTGTGCTTAATATCGAAGATACGGTTGTACGCTCCGGAGACTCAGTGGTAATTTCCGCCGATACAATTGTCGTATCTGATTCATTTGTCGTTTGAGTAGTAATATCTTTCAATAAATTTCTGGTAACATCAGTTAAAGCAACCGTGTTTTCCTCCGTGTATAGAACGGTTAGCATTTCCGTAGTGGAAATGGGTGGTGTGGATGACGGAATGCTAGTACCCGCTGACGTTTGTAACGTAGTGTGAACTGTTTCGAAAGTGTGATCTAAATCTATAGGACGCAACGTTGTTGCACCATCAGGTGAACAATGTTTGTCGTTAAGATTGCAACCACAAATGGGCCTGTGTGCTTCAGCCCGACACTGAACTGCCAGTTGACACCCGTTGATGCAGGGATCAACGCAGGAGCTTTCGACGCATGCTTCTGCGTCACTGCAATCATCATCGGACTCGCAAACTGGCTTGGGCATGGGATGAAGAACTGCTGCGGATACAATATAACGTAAACATAACATCTGATAAAATGGCAAAACTGCTAATTGGGGAGCGACTCTGATTAGACTAGGCTACAGATAAGTTTACAGTTTATTTCAATGACTACAAATTAAAAGTTAGCATGCTCGCATATAATAGGTAAGCTGATTGTAAGAAACATTATTAAGTCTTTACAGAGACAGATGTAATGGAAGAATCCTTCAGTAGTAAGGAGATCGGCAGAAGAGAGCAGGAGTCTAGGGTATGGGAAACTTGTATCTGTAACTTGGAACCTGAAATATGCGTTCAGACAACAGAACAGAGAAATCTGTATCAAACTGTAGCGTAATAAAAGTGACCTTACAAATGAAAAAAAAAAAAATTAAAATCAAGATAGTGAAGAGTAATCAAGTTTTGCGCATATTCTGCTGTCTGTACGGACGGAAACCTGAAAAGTAGCAATTTGTATGTCTCGTGTAAGGCCAGGCAATGTAAAGATGTGATAACGTCTATGAGAAATGACAAGAGACTCAGATAGTGTTCTGAGAAATTGTGTTTACCTTTCATGCATCCGTATTTAGTATCTGGCACAAAGCCGGGGGGACAGAACTTGCAGATAGGCTTGTGCTCCTCCACGTAACAGGGGGCATCAGCCGGACAGGTAGAGTTTCTGCATGGGTCCACGCAGCGATAGTTGCGGCACGCCAAGTCTGGAGAGCAGCCACTGTCTCGCAGGCAAATGGAGAGGGAGGGATTGCAGTTTTTGGTGCAAATGCACACGGGACGGTGGTCCAGGACATCGCAGGTTTTATCAGCCGGGCACGGTCTTTTGTTTCGCACGTTACAGGGGTTTTGACATTTCCCATTGACGCACGCGGCGTTCGAGGGACAATCAAAGTCTCTCGAGCAGGTAAGCGTGTCAGGAGCGCAGGTCAATTCCCCGATTTCGTTGACTACGAAGCCATATTTGCAAACGCACATAGGTTTGTGATTCCGCACCTGACACCTCTTGTTGACCTCGCAGGTATACCGAGAACTCAAACACGGATCGCGGCACTCGCCTGTCTGCGAGTGGCAGGAGAGGCTCTCCGGACAGTCGTAGTCGGAGGAACAACCGATGCTCGGCGTAGGTTTGGGATTGAGCGTGTCGCATTTAGAATCTGGATGACAGGCCGTGTGGGGCATGCCGATATAGCACTGCGGGCACGAGCAACGCGGCTTGTGCAGAACCACTCGGCACAGGGCATTGATTCCACAGGCACCGCGTAGCGCGCACGGGTCCAGACATTGTAGATTTATGCAGGCTTTTTCATTGGGGCACTCTAAGTCGCTGGTGCATTCGCGCTCTATTGTCACGATAGTGGTGTTCAAGTCGGTGTAGAGTCGGTGGGTCGTGGGTGGTGGGACAGGAAAAAAAAAGAAAAAAGCATTTATAAGAACTGTGAAAAGAAACTTTCTCACAAATAACATAAACCACATGCTTTGTATTTATGATGAAAGTAGGGTAGGCTCTGTGAAGAGGTATAGAGTAACGACTTTACACTTTTTCAAAACATCAGACATCTTCTCAGAGAAATTACAACGGCAAGCAGCGATATTTACAACACAAGCCCCCACAGATTTCAGAATAGGAGGAAATAACAACCCGTGAATATCAGCAAATATCAAGCATGGGTATATGAGAATGTCCCTTTCGCAGTTCCCAATCTGTATTAATCCTAAAATAGAGATATATGGTGTCGACTGTAAATGTGTACCTCCTTGTATTCAAGTGGCACTATAAGGCAAATGGGTGTCTTTTTGTTTATTCAATTATATCCTCAAGACAGATTGGATACTGAAATAAACATTCTACATATGAAGTTATGTGTGAGATATGTGTGAAACGTGTTCTCTCATCTCAAAATTATGTACAGTATGTCCTATATTGTATAATATGTACAGGTAATGTTGTATTCTTTGCTTATGGGTAAAATATGTATATATCCAATGTCATGGCGACATACTGCTCCAATCACATCTGTCTCTCGATGTTAACGTTTATCACTCGATTAATACGTCTATGTATTACTCAAGTCCTACTAGACGATACATGGTTATTCTACGGACCATGTTCCTGTGATTGTCAGTACTGTTCGCTAGTCACAAATGCTGTACATAAAATTAATCAACCGGCTCGGTTAAAAAGTTAGTAGGCCGTATTTTCCTACCTGTTGTACACTCGATATCCGGCGAACCGCTTGTACCTGGTGGACACCGGCAGACGAATATGGCTCCATCCCTAATGCACTCTGCGTTCTTTCCGCATCCATTCGTTCGGCAGTCTCCTAAATCTCTATCTGAACTACCTGTATCACACATACACACGCACGCACACACAACCAAATCATTAATGGCAATACCGACCAAGGAATTAAATAACGTCTCGCAACGATATTAAAACTGATATTTTTAAGATAGCGAGTTATCATATTTTCTTGTATGTTTTTCAAATTTTACTTATTTATTTTAATAATGATATATATAAAAAGATTTCGTCAATTTAGTTCAGAGGCAGCTAGATTATTATTTCTTCTATGTATGCCTTGTTGGGTACAGAAAGAAAAATACGTACATGCGTGCATTGGATCGCCTGATGGATTATTCGGTGGGCAATAACACTGCGGCTGATTCTTGTAAATTCGACAGGCTGCATTGATGCCGCAACGAGTGTCCTTGCAAAGATCGCCATCGCAGAGACACACCTGATGAGGGTCGCCGTGGCATCCCGGGTCGCATGTGCATTCGAAACCATTCAAAGTTTCACGGCACTTAGCGTTAATGCCACAAGGTCTTCGTAGACATTCGTCACCGCCTGAAAGTGATCAAGAGAAAAAACAACGCGCGTATTAAAAACGTATTTCATTCACGGTAACAATTTTTGTAATAAATAATGTCTGCAAATAAATGTAATGGACTTGCCTTTCTTGCAATTAATCTTCGGATTGCCAAAATGTCCCGGTGGGCAAGAGCACTGTGCCTTCCTGCTGATCACGCGGCACTGCGCATTAAAGCCACAAACGCCGTGCTGTAAACACGGATTTGTGCAAACCCCGTATTCGCTGCAATGCTTGTTCAGCTCGCAATCGTCGTCATGATGGCACTCCAGCTGGTAACACTCCTGACTCGGCTCACCCTGGTAGCCCTCTGGACACAAGCATACCGCGCGATGGTTCGAAACGCGGCAGAGCGCATTTATTCCGCAAGGTGATCCGTGGGCAGAACACGGGTTCTCACACTGGCCATTTGTGCATGACAATGATGACGGGCAGTCAGAGTGGGTGCGACATCCGACGAGGCACAAACCTCCATCGCATACGTAACCCTGCATTAAGACGTGTAAGGTTAAAAATTTCACAATGTCGACATTAATTTAAAAAAAAAACATACTCTCGAATTTTTCTTAAACTTCACCTTTGGACACGCGTTGTTGATGTCACACTTGATGCGACATTTGCCACTATGGCAGACCTCGCCGCAGGAACAATCATTCTGATGATGACAGCTGGTGGTGCAAAAACCGATCTCGTCGCACTCGCATGAGCCGTCGCAGGGAATCATGGTCTTGGCGCAATTGATTAACGCGTTGCCGTAATAATTTGCGGGACAACTACATTGAGCTACGTGATTGACTACGCGACAGCCCGCGCATTCTCCGCACGCTTTGCCACCTTCGCATGGACCTGAACATTATTTGAAGCAGTTACATTGCATTGCTCGATCAAGACAGTCGTATTTAAAGTCGAACGTACGCAATATCTTACGCATAGACTTACTTCTGCATTGGTTGTTGATACAAGACTCGTCGCCTGGACACGTGTTATCATTGCGACACCCAATGTCGCACATGCGATTGTGGCATATTTGATTTGCAACGCAGTGGTCATCGCTATTGCATATCGCTTTACAAATGCCGCCGTCGCATCGTTCGTCGCTCAAGCAATTCGCATCACTGAAAAAAATACAATTATTTAGCAACAAAATACAATGATAACTTTATACAATTGGTTCATTGTCGTATGTCCACACCTTCTGCACGTTGAATAGCATGACCTGCCGTAACACGTTTGCCCTGGTAAACATTCGAGTTCAGATGCACAGGGAAGGAATGTCTGCTTGCATCCAATATGGACGTCTCCCACCAAAGGTGATGGACACGTGCAGATCTTTTGGTGATTGACAGTTGTACACTTGGCGTTTACGCCGCAAGCATCAGTCAACAAACATGGATCTGCAGAAAAAGAACAATTAGATAATAATAAAGACTAATGATAGTACACTTTACATTTATTAAGAAAAATTAAATATAGACAAGCAAGAGTAAATTCGATATGATATTAACAGAATTATTAACAACTAACAAGAAAAATTGCTGATAGAACTCACCTATGCACTGATTGTTTATACATGCGTAACTATCATGGCATTCGATGTCCGCTCGGCAACCGGAAATGCATACCAATCCCTCGCATATCTCACCACTCCTGCAATCCTCGTCCCGTCTGCAAAGTGACTTGCAGATGCCAGAGCTGTCGCATCTTTCATTGCTCAAACAATTTGCGCTGGACGAGCAGACGGGTATGCAAACACCAGCAATGCAGGCCGTGCCCACGGCGCAGTCCCGATTAGCCTGACAGATCGGACCCGGAGTTCTTAAACACGCGACCTTGGCGGTCGGGTTTGGTATAAAACCGGTAGGGCAGGAACACGTGGCACGCTGGTTAAAGACGGTGCACTTGGCGTTGGGTCCGCACGGCGTAGCCTCGCACGGGTTCACGCACTTATTTCCTAAACAAGCCTCATTCGCGTTGCAGTCCTCGTCGGCGCGACAACCGAACGAGCACATGTTGTTTAGACAGATATGACCCAGGAAGCAGTCATTGTCCAGCCGACAAGTCAGCAAGCAATTGCCGCGAATGCACTTCTCATTTAGCGCACAATTGTCGTCGACAGTGCAAACCGGCAAGCAAACGTTCTCACGACAGGTATTGCCTTCGTTGCAGTCCCCACTTCCGAGACAGGACACTGGCACTGCAAATGATCAGCATTTTATAGAATTTGCAAAGAGACGTTGATCAGAAGATGTCCAAACATTGCGGAATGTGCAACACTTACGTCTTACACATTCTACCTCGGAATTGCCAGTGAAGCCTGGTGGACAGCTACACTGTTTAATGTGACTTCTGACTTTGCATTCGGCATTTATGCCGCAGGCTCCTCTTACGTCACACGGATCTAAGCATTGCCCGGTCAAGCAAACGTCGGATAAGTTACATTCCTCATCCGATTGACAGGATGCTGAAATGGTATTACTTATTGAATATAGCAATCGAAGAATTGCTTTTCACATACTCTAGGTCAAAGTCATGCGACAACGTTGATTAAAATCGGTCTTAAAGCAAATGAAATTCAATAATTATTTACTCACGTCGGCAAATGCCTTCGTAACAATAAGTATTCACTGAACAGTCGACGTGTGACAAGCAGACCACTGGTCTCGGACGACATCCCACGCTCAGATTGTTAGGATCACCTTCGTAATCGGTACGGCATTGACAACTCGCAGCATGATTGCTCGCCACACAGTCCGCGTTTGGACCACATCGGGTACGTGCGCAAGTATCTGAAATAGGAAGATTAAATAAAATATGTAATAAATAAAACATACCTGTTTCAAATCTTACATACGGCAAGATATATCATTGTCAGATATATTACGTAAAGAAAATAATAAAACTAGACAACATGCAATAAATAGAATAATGCTGCAATATAAATTGATAAAGCTTATCGCACGTACCGAAGCATTTCGGTACGTTGTTGATGTTGACACACTTGGCAGTCAGCGGACAATCCGCGTCCTGCAAGCATTCTACCGGCGGTTGACAACCACTATTATAAGGATCTCCGACTGTGCCGGGTTGACAATGGCATTTGAAATGCCCCCGTGTGTTTTCGCACAATGCGCCCGGTGCGCAGGGTGCGTTCGCGCAGTAATCTATTAATTTACAAGCGCGCGTAGGCTCTCCCGTGTATCCAGGTTGACAGGTACAAACCTATGGCACAAAAGATATTGTAAAACTTGCTACCGGAAAGCAATTCTTAGTACAAGGCAACGAAGTAATTACTTGGACATGCTTCTCCGTTGTACAAATGGCGTTCACGCCACAAGGATTGTGCGCGAGACAAGCGATTCTACATCTGTGATAATCGCAGATCTTTTCCTGTGTACAGTCATCGTTGGCTTCACATTCGATAGGTTGGCAACCAATTTTGTCGTCTTTAGCGTTGCCGAAGAAGCCACGTTTGCAGGAACACGTCGCGGCATGATTATCGGCCTTGCACTCGGCGTTACGGCCGCAGAGTATCACGTCGCAAGCTCTGCGACACTCCGCCTTGATTGACACACGGAAAAATGAAATGTTATATACTTACTCTGACAGAATTGATAAAAAGATATTGTCATTTGCAACTGAAAATGTTGCATCTAGTAAAATTACCTGTCCAATATTATTCTTAATGCATTTTTCGTCGTACGAGCAATCGTTGTCTGACGCACAACGTAATTCTTGAACACATATGTTATTATGGCAGTACTGATATTCCGGACAACTAGAATTACTTCTGCAGGTGGGCTGACAGAGGCCATTGATACAGAGTTGATCGCCGATGCAATCTCTTGTACTTCCGCAGAGCGCTGCAAATTACAATAATCAGATTGTACGCGGAAACATGGAGGAAGATAACAAATACTGGTTAAAAGAAGAAAATGAACGAAGAATATGTATATTTTGTAAGGAGGGTAAAGATAATATAGAACACTATTTAAAGGATTGTAAAACGACGAAAGACTGGTTTTTAGAGTTAGGTAATAGTATGGAAAAGAAGTTGGAAAGATTATATATAACGATGTAATAGATGAAGATAAAGGAAAGATATTATTGTTGCGTCCGGCTCCGCCGTCCACACAACACCTCGCGCACTCGCGCACTCGTCGGCTCGACTTCGCTCGCGGCGCACGCCACCGGGCCGCGAAGAAATCAATAAAGATTGGAAATCAACAAGGGAACTTTATTTAGTAAAGAACACACGTCTGTACTCTCCAAGAGCCCAGAGACAGAATCACAAAATCAATAATCAACAACCGCGCATCGGTCCTTCGCGACCGATCGTTTAATCCGTCGCGACTTCAGCCCGCGGCTGGCGCGCATTCTCAGGACGTCGCATCCGAGCACGGGCGTAACAATATTATGTAAATTATGGAAGGAAAAAGAAAGGCAAAAAAAGATGAGCTAGTCATTGTAGAAATAAGAAATTATAAGTAAGAAATAAGAAGGGAAAGAGATTAGGGGTAGAGATTAGAGAGAGTATGAATGAGAGTATGGATGAATGAGTGGTTAAGAAACTTTTGTAAACCAAGTCCCACTTTCTGGCTGTATGCTAAAGGTAATAAAATATATATATATATAATCAGATTGTACATGAAATTTATAGATCTATGAGTTATACCGTTTACGAATTAATATGTGATTTTCGCAATTGTCCAATGTTAACTTACCGGTGCATATCCCTCCGTTGCACACTGAACCGGTTGCGCATTGTGAATCACTCTTGCAATATTGCAGCGGAGTGCACCCAAGATTCGGATCGCCTGTGCCGCCAGGTTGGCAGGTGCATACCGCGCTATGATTAAGCGACGAACAATCGGCGCCATGTCCACAAACGTTCGAAAGAGAGCAGGGGTCGACGCACTTGTGATCGAAGCACGCGTCTGACTGACTGCAGTCGTTGTGGTAGTTGCACTCCAGATGAATACATTCCGTCTAAAACAAAGTTAAATAGAAGATAAAAAAAATAGGAACGAAATAAAATGAGAAACCGATTAGCTATAAAAATACTCAAATTAGAGTATCATTATCAATTATGATGGATTATAATATGCAAATTATTATAAAACATTTAAAGCTTTAGAGAAGTTAAGACTTAAATTTAGTACTCACTGCCGGATTTCCCGTAGTTTGTCCGGGACACCTACAGATCGGAACATGGTCACGTGCGAGGCATTCTGCATTTCTACCGCAAATCCCCGGCGCGTCACACGGATTAGTGCATCTGTTGTCGATGCAGGCGGCTGAATTTGGACAATCTGAATCTGTGAAGCAATCGCCGGGTTGCTTGCAACCAGTTTTGAATGGATCCCCTACTAAACCGTGCGGGCAAACACAAGCAAACGATCCTTCGGCGTTTTGGCATCTGCACAATTTTTTAATGGTTTATTTATTTGAAAATTTATATATCACAAGTTTGCACAATCGGCTGTAATAAATCATAAATTTCACTCACGTAGCTGAGGGATGGCAAGGATTCTGCAAACACTCATTGACATCACCGCAAATGTCGCCGACAAGGACAAAGCCAGGATAACATTTACACACGCTAACATGATCGATGGCTAAGCAATTACCATATCCGCAGTTTACTTGATTGCAAGGACCTGACAAAACGAGTGAACAAAGATTTAAAAAAAATTGTATAATTGCTTTCAAACTATAATTTTGTTATTTTACTAAAGCATTATATAACTCGATATCAATGAGAGGGTATCATGGCTTACTGCTGCACTTGTTGGTTTCCTGGTTGCAATATTTATCCGTTGGACAGTCACTGTTAGAAAGGCATTCTACTTTGAAACATCCTGAGGCATCGCCGATGTAACCAGGCTGGCATTGGCAACCAGCTGCGTGATCCAGAACAGTGCAGATAGTATTTAAACCGCAGTCGATGAAAGAGCACGGATCTGAGCAGTTGTGTTGAACGCAAGCCTGTGTGTCAAAACAGTCCCTATGCGTGGTACACTGATGCGGCAGCACGCAACCTGATCCTATAGGGTCGCCCGCGGTACCTGAAGGGCACGTGCAACGGTAAGACCCATGGAGATTAATGCACTCAGCACTCGGATGGCACGGTTGATCTTCGCACTCGTTGATGTCCAGGCAATGTTCGGGACCGGCAATAAATCCGTGGCTGCATCTGAGAAAATAAATTAGATGTCACAAATGTGTTACAGATAAGTTACGGATGTTTTTAAAAAATGTGGACGCGACAAACGAATAATTCGATAAAGTAAGTTTGGATTAAAATGGCAATACCTGCACTTGCTCTTAATGCACACTTCGTCGCGTTTGCAACCGACGTCAGAGGTGCAGCCCGCCTCGCACGTGCCGTCGATACACAATTCGCCGGGTAGACAATTGCTGTCGCCGTAACATAACTTCATGCAAATGCCATTCTTGCAACGTTCACCCTGCGCGCAATTATTCTGCTCCGAGCACTGACACTGGCATAATCCTGAGACGCACAGATGCTGGCTGGGACAGTCTTGCGGAGTTTGGCACACATTTGGCACTCGAACGCAACCTTGCTCCGGGGTGGGATTGGCGTGAAAACCGAGGGGACATGTGCACGTGATTGCGTGATTCGCACAACTACAAATCGCATTTGGTCCGCACACGTCTTTTCTACTGCAAGGATCTAAAAGTACACGAATTTCTTCGTTCACTCGCAAGAACTACGGTATTGCATAAATTCGTTAATAAAAAGTAATATTTTTACTTTTTTATTTAATATTCAATTTTATTTAATCGTACTTTATATTAATTTGTAATTTGCACACATGTATACAATATTTATTTGATATAAGTGAGAGAGTACAAAGCTATGTAATGTGACTCGCGACATACCTTGACACTTGTTGTGGATACACGATTCAGTAGTCGGACAGTTCTTATTACTACGACAGCCAAGGATGCATCCTCCGTTAACACATGCCTGATCTACTAGGCACTGAGAATGCGCGATGCAGGACACCACACATTTGTTATTGATACATTTTTCTCCATCCGAGCAATCAGCGATTGAACGACACACAGCTGAAGCAACAGAAATCCCCCATGAGTTTTATAATTTGAAGTTTCCCAACACGATTAAATCTGTATACGTGTATACAAAAAATGCTACACCGCATGCAAAAATGCATCGATCGCAACGGGGATTATGTAGAAAAATAGTGGAAAGTCCAGGCTTTCCAACGATGTATGATACATTGCAAATGAACGTGTTTTTCTTTGTGAAAATAAAATTGGAGACCTTATTTTACGGACCACCCTCGTATTAATAACTAACTTAACATTCGTCCACCGCAAGAGCCTTAAATATTAACATTACGTTACCTCTGCATTGTCCATCTAGACAGACGCTGTCGTCGCATTGGGCGTCCACCGTGCAGTAATTGGTGCCCCGCACGCAGCCGTGTTCCGGACCCCTCGAGGACGGCACGAATCTGGAGATGCACCTGCAGCTCGGTTGACCGTTGACGATTTCGCAGAGTGCATTGGGACCGCACGCGTCCTCGCACGGATTGACACAGCGATGCTCGTGGCAAACGGAATGGATCGGGCAATCCTTGGGGCCGGAGCAGTGCCCCTCTGGTTGGCAGCCGTTCACGTAAGGATCGCCTACGTGATTCGGCGGGCATCGGCACACCGGATTATTTGTCGGACCGGCGACGCAGAGCGCTGTCGGATGGCAGGAGTCCGGATGGCATGCCTCCACGGCGACGCACTCGACGTCGGGTACCGGGTTCGGACGGAGCCCAGGTGGGCACTGGCAGATCGCTTTGTGATCGTCCGCGATGCAAACCGCGTTCACGCCGCACGCGTTCTCGTCGCAGGCGTCGTAGCAGGTGTGCGTGAGCCGGTTGCAGAGCTGGGTCGGCGGGCAGTCGATGTTGTAGACGCAGGGCACTGCGCGGCACCCGGACGCCGAGTCGTTCGGATCGCCGGCGTATTGCCCGGGCGGACACTCGCAATTCGCCACGTGGTTATTGACGACGCAGAGCGCGTTGGGTCCGCATGTGACGAAGTCGCAGACCAGTTGGCAAATGAGCGGGCCATCCGGGGTACTGCGACACGTCTGATCCTCCGCGCACTCGCTGTCGGTGGAGCAACGGTTCTCGCGCGGGCTGTGGCAGCCCCGACGATCATTCGGATTGCCGGAATAGCCCGGCAGACACTCGCAACGGCCGTGATGGTTCTCCGTCACGCAGCGGGAATTCACGGTGCAGGTGAAGCCATCGCAAAGCGATGCGCACTTCAACACACCGAGCGCGTCCGGTCTGCAGCCCTCGCTCGTGTGGCAGTCGTCGTCGCTTATGCAATCGGGCACTGACGGCTTCTCGCAGGACGACAGTACCGGATTCCATTCATAGCCGTCCTGGCACTTGCAAGTGGCGTGACCGGGCACGATGTCGGGTTCACACTTCTGATAGGCGCCGCACACCACTTTGCTGCAAGGATTCACACAGTCAGACACACCGCCGTCCAGGGTGATGCAGAAGGAACCTGGCGGACAATCCGAATTGTGTGCGCATCCAGATATGACGGACTTGGACGGCTGACAACCCTCGACTAGATTACTCGGATTTCCCTGGTAACCGTCAATGCACAAACAGGAGGACACGTGATTCTGCGTGATGCATAGCGCGTTAGGTCCGCATTGCAGTTTGCTGCACGCGTCCACGCACTTGCGGACGCCTTTGCCGATCTGGAAACAAATCTCCTGCGGCTCGCATTCAAGATCATTCGAGCAATGCCCGTGCAAGTGGCAACCTTTGTGCAGGTCGTTGGGGTTACCGCTGTAGCCGGGCGGACATATGCACACTCCAGTCTGACAGACGGATCTAGGACCACATTTTATATCGCTGCACTGATTTATGCACTTATGATCGACGCAGGTATAATCGAAGGGACATGGTACAGCGTTGCTGCAAACGCAGGTCGAAGGATCAGCGCACGGCCCCACTTGTACTTGTTGACATCCGACAAATGGATTACCGAAGAAGCCGTCCTTGCAACGACAGTCGTAGCTCCCGAGGGTGTTGATGCACACCGCATTGCTGCCGCATGCATTTCCGTTGCACTCATTGATGTCTAACACAGAAATAGAAATACATTCACACATGATTTCAGACTTATCACAATTGACAGTTGATGCCATAAAGAATGATGTTATTTGAAAAAATTGGTTGCAGTTATACTTTTTGTGTATATTTCATGACATTTAAATTTATCAGTCCAATATTTCTTGATTAGAGAAAACTCCTAGCTTCATATTAAAAAAAAAGAATTTAATGCAACGATAGCACGAAAGAGCTGAAATTAACAGCAACTAACCGAAACATTGAATGTATGGATTGCCAGCGAAGCCAGATGGACAGAGGCACTCGACGGCGTTTGGACCCGCGTTGCAGTGCGCATCTTTCCCGCACACCGCAGTAGAACAATCGGACTTTTCTTGAACGCCACAACCGTGATAAGGATTCCCGCTGGTACCAGGATGACAAACGCATTTCGATTCTTGAAGGCCGTACTCGCAGTGCGCATTTCTCCCACAGAATGGATCGCAGTGCGGTGGCTGAATGGCTACGGAGAAGAATTGTATTATTTAATACGGGAGATTGTACAGTGTTACTTATAAACTACTATTAAATATGTTCTTTTTTCTTGCAGAGAAACATTTACGAAATTAGAATATATCATTCGCATCTTCTTTTTACATATTATTGAGTAATATATACAATATACATACAGAGTGGTTCGAATCAACCCTATGTCTTTGCAATATTGTGAATTCGCGATTGGATTCTGAGACGATTTTTACTTTATCAAAAATTTCTCCGAAACTTAGAATTTTTAAATTATGAAAAACATAGTTAATGAATAATGAATAACGGGCTGAGTGCAACTCCCAGTGAGAAATGATTCGTCGATCGACGAGTCATTTCTTTTTGAGAAGAGGCGAACAGGGGTGGCATGCGGCGCGACTCAAGGTTACGCAGAGCGATTAGTTAATCACTACACAATACATGGTTTGTCCGAAAAGTAATGTCAGTGATTTTATTGTGAAGCGACCATACGTCACAGCGCGCTCGGATCGGTTGGGATCGATAGAGGGGAAAGTCAGCTGACGAACGTAATGTCGCTCATGCGTCCCCGAACATCCGTAGAGTAAGGGCAGGGTTTTCCGTGAAACTCGTTTTCGTCTCCCGTACAAGCCGCAATGCAGCGCTCGTTGGAACAAAGGATTGCCATCAAGCATTGTGTAAATCTCGGCAAGTGCGCAGTGGAAACTTTTCTTATGATAAAGACAGCCTTTGGTAATGATTGTTTGTCAGAACGTCAAGTCTGCCGGTGGCACAAGGCCTTTTTAGAAGGCCGTGAAGAGGTCAGCGATGAAGCCCGCGCTGGACGGTCGTCAACGACCACCACCGACGAAAATGTGACGCGTGTGAGAGAACTTTTGAACGCCCGAAATTCCGACAATTTCCGCGATTGGTAAACCTCAATAATTATCGGCGAAATTTTTAACAAAATTATAGAATGAGAAACTTCAAAAATTTCAGAATATTTTAGAATTCAGACATAAAAAATTCTAGGAAAGATATAAACTTTCTCGTTATCTCAGAAAAGTGTTCAAATTTGTATAAAAAAATGTGAAAATTATAAAGTTATTGAGAAACCTTAAAAATGCTAAAATTTACATAAAAATTATAAAAAATTCTGAAAAAAATTTCCACCAAAGGAGAGAGAAAAAAGAGAGTGTCGCGCGCGCGCGCGTACGTGTATATGTAAATATATGTGTGTGTAACAATCAGCTGAGTGTCTAGCGTAAGTACTCGCAGTGAGTCACGCTGCGCGCCACCCCTGCCTGCCTCTTCAACTGTTACTCACTATTTCTTTTTATAATTCAGAAAGTTTCGGAGAAAATTTTCGTAAAAGAAAATTGTCTCAGGATTCAATCAGGACCGCGCGACATTGCAAGGACATAAAGTTGTTTCAAATCACGCTCTGCATATAGACACATTATACTATTTACAATACTTACGTGGCATACAGAGCAGGTCGGGATTGCCGACGAAGTAAGGGTTGCATACACATTTATTCGTTAATGGATCGCACATGGCTCCAATGCCACAAATCACTCCTTCGCAGCGCCGTTTGCAACGTCCACTGATGCACACGCTCGGCTCGGCGCATGGAATTTCAGGAGAGCAAATATCTGGAACGCACTGTCCGCCAGGGAAAGGATTGCCCATGAAACCTTCGATGCACTTACAAGTCGGCCCATCGTAGCTAACGATACATTGAGCCCCGGTGCCACAAACAAAACCGTCGCATTCTGAAACCGAAACAAAGGTTTATCCCGCGTATATCCTCCTGCATCTAAAAACAAAGTCTTAACAAGGATTTATACGAGATAAATTGATAACGTACTAACTAAAACTACCTAATTTAAAAACTGAAGTTGTGCTCGTATTGTAAATATTATAAAGATAATTCCCTTCGAAATTTTTAAATAAGTTTGGAAATAATAATTTCTCTTATATTATTTTATAGCCTAATCAAAATTATGTACAAAAAAATTATCTAGACGTACAGTTAGAAGATTTAGAAAGTTCGCACTCACGTGAGACACATTCGTTATTCTTGCCTTCCGTAAACCCAATGACACATCTGCACCATGCCGCGTGTTTATCGGGCTCGCAGTAGGCATTAGGTCCGCAGGGTACGTTGTCGCAGGGGTTGACGCAAATCCCTTGGACGCATGCTAAGTAATTCTCGCAATCGTCGTTTGACGAGCACTCACTCTTGCCGGTCGGGACTCCAGTACAGCCGACACCGTAAGGATCACCGATCATACCTTTAGAACACTCGCATGTGTGGTCTCCTTTGGTATTAATGCAATATGCACCGTGTCCGCAAGGATTATTCGCACATTCGTTCACGTCGATACATCCGTGCTGCGGGTCACCCTCGAAGCCAGCCTCGCACATGCACCGAGGCGGATCGCTCGGCGTGCACCTTGCGTTAATACCGCACGGGAAACGATCGCAAGGATCTGCAATTAGAAAATTTAATGATAAATTGCGTAAAGAAAACATGATTGTCATGAGAATATATAATACGAGCTGCGACCGTACACGCAAAGAAATTACTTAATTTTAGATAAATTTTAGTTTGAATGTAGGGTAAAGGCATAACCAGGTAAACTTTGCTAAAAGTTTATTATTAGATGTAAAATACCTTCGTTGCGAGGTGCAACTGTATCAATTAAAAAGAATAGCTCACTTTAACACGAGTAGCTAAGAAAGCGACAGTTATTTTAAGCTTAATTTCCATTCACGCGTTAATAAATTGGGGTTCGACAGCAACGACATTAACTGTCTCTATTTCAAAGACACATTTTAGTTGCCACGGCTATATTTTAGCTCTTTTGGCTAATTTTTCTTTCTGTGTATACAATACGACGAAAAATATATTAATATAAAATTCGGAAACTTACTCTTGCAAAGATTTCCATCTAAAGGATCTGTGTAGAACGGCGGTGGGCACACGCACTCTCCAGGCTGCACGCACTTCTCGTTGGCCTTACATTCGTTGTCGTTGGTACATCTTTTCTGCGCCGGAGAACACAGCCCGTTGTACGGATCGCCGCCGTATCCGTGCGGGCACACGCACTGATGAGAACCTGGTAGATTGATACACTCGGCACCGTAACCGCAGACTTGGTGACCCACGATACACTCATTTATATCTGCATTGATAATTGTTAGTTGGTCAACAATGTCCGTTTCTTTTTGTAACTGTTGTCAATTAAATTTACAACAAAAATACGATTTCTCTTGAAATGATCGCTTCGTCAATACCTTCGCAGGAGCCATCGGACTTGGTCGTGTATCCCTTAGGACAGGCGCAATAACTGACACCGCCGGCAATCGTTATGCACTCGGCACCACTTGGGCACTTTTCACCTTTCGAGCATCCGGCCAGCATACATTTATTATTGACAATCTTGTATGGCGGTTGACATTGGCATTCGATGCTGTTGCATTCTGTAATTTTTCCAATAAACATTTTTAATGATTTTAATGAACAAACGCACGTTTGTTTTTAATGATAATTACAGTTATTAAAATATTGACTATAAGTCAAGAGCCTTACCTTCGCAAAGCGAGAAGGGGTTTCCGTTGAAGCCCGGCGGGCACTGACACTCGTAGCTGCCAGGGAGATTCTTACAAATTGCATTGACACCGCAAGCGGGCTTTTCTCTCAGCTCCATACACTCGTTAATGTCCCTGCATTTACCGGTCTCGTGGTCGCGTGTGTAGCCGCGTTGGCAGATGCATACGCTGCTGCCCACGAATTCGTCCTTGATGCACTGCTCTCCAGCGGGGCAGGGCGCACTGGGGCCACACACGTGAGGTGTTTTAGATTCCTGGCAATCGCCGCTGTAAGGATCGCCCATCATGCCACTCGGACACTGACACGAGAAGGAACCAGGCTCGTTGTTGCAGATTGCGCCCGGAGGGCACGGGTTTATCGCGCACTCGTCGATGTCTCGGCAACCGTCCTTCACCCCGGGCTTTCCGGTGTAGCCATTGCTGCAGAGGCACGTCGCTACGTCGTTTAAGAGCATGCAATGCGCATTGGGTCCGCAAGACAGGTCCTCGCATGGATCTGGTCAGACAAACACAAGATTGTCGATTGACACGATATTTTGTTCACAAAGACAAACTTTTTATT